AGTGTTAATTAATTCCAATGAGCAGTACTAAATGGATCTAGCTACAAAGTTAGCTATTTTTTTTTATGGTAGTAAATCCCGGGAGGGACATATACAGTACTATACGGTATGCATCGTTGCCGGTCGACTGTCCGTCAGCCGGAGCATAAACTAGAGCCTTAGTGCTATTATAATTTGGGATCTTGATCTGAATGCTGCTGTAACGCAAACACTACAAAATTAGTTTGTGTAGATTTTATAAGAAAGGATCAGTGCGGATTCACATCAGTTTCTCAAAATCTAGTGCATCTTTCTGATCTGTAATTTATTTCGATGTGTGGAAATCCCATTGGAATGTTGTAAATTAGCCTAGGTCTACATTGAAAATACCTACGCATTACGACAACAAGTATGAAACACTCATGAAGTGGTCATTTTTGAAAGTAGAAATAATGTGCATGAAGTCGCATACCTATTTATTATGACGTAAAGGCATGAGATAAGTCCAATGTGTGTCACATTATTTGCATTAAACTTTCTTTGAATATTGACCTGCCATTTATAGAGGGCGCTAACTCAAAGCTGGCATTAGCTGGCATGAGACTGACGGCGAGAGCTGTTATGCATTTAAAACGTGTGTTACATCTTATGGTAATGCTGTAAATATATATAAATAAATCTGAATCTGAGAATATGAAAAAATAGCCACATATCATTTATCTATTTGTTTATATAATAAATGTTTAACATACCGATACCCAACAGCCCCATAAGCCAGTGAATGAGTAGTTAATAATAATAATAATAATAATAATAATAATAATAATAATAATAATAATAATAAACCATTAACAAAATAAGTAAAAACTAAGTAAACTAGGTAAGCCTAGATATTAATGCAGAAGTCAAAATTAAATATAGCATAATACAAGTGATATGGAATATAACAAGGTGTACATAAAGTAATGGAACGGGAATACGGTGGTATAAAAAAAAGTCAAGTGTGTGTGAATGTGTAATCGCCCATGTCACGATTAAGGCCTAAAATGTGAGTATTGAATTTGATAATGAGTTTGAGCTCTGAGCGTCTTCTATGGTCAAGAGATGGAAAATTGTTAGCCAGCAGAACACATCGGATGTTGTCAATGGAGTGGCCAGGGGAGTTAAAGTGTTCAGCGACAGGGAACCCCTTGCTCTTCGGACGGACTGTTTGTGGTTATTAAACCGGAGTCTAAATTTAGTTCCAGTTTCGCCTATATAAGAGCCATGATCACAGATATTGCACATGAGGAGATAAATAACGTTCGAAGAGTCACAGGTGAGGGGAGGGGGATTGATAGAAGAAGAGGTGTGTGGGAGCCTAACAACGCTGTCGGTGACGAGGTGCTTGCATACTTTACAGCGTGGTTTGTTGCATTCAATATTACCATGAAGTCGGGTTAGGGAGTAAATTGGACGACGTGAGGATAGACTTGGGGTTGGGGGGTTGGCGGTTAGCGAGTAAGGGAGGGTTGGATACAGATTTTTTTTATATTAGGGTCCTGTCGAAGGGTACGAAAATCTTTTTTGATAGTGTTGGCCAACTTGGTGGTATGAGAGTTGAAGTTAAAAACTAATGATATACGGTCAGAATCAGATTTGGATTTAGGGTTTAAAAGTTCAGAGCGGGGGCGTGAGACTGCCTTAACTTAAGGGTCTGGGATTTAATAATTTTAAAGGGGTAGTCACTGTTAAGAAAGTGTTTGGTAAGGGAGCATATGTGGGCTTTGTAGTCAGCTGGGTCAGAGCAAATGCGCTTAATACGGAGACACTGGCTATATATGATAGATTTCTTCAGGTGGGAGCTTCGATAGTTGAGATATTGGTGGCTGTCAGTAGGTTTAGAATAGAGCGTGGTAAAGAGGCGTTGGTTAGTAATATTAACTGTCACATCAAGGAAGGGATGTGGGAGGGCGAATATTCAAGAGTGAATTTAATATGGGGATAAAAACTGTTGGCGTACTTCTCGAAGTCGAGGAGAGCATCAACACCAAGGTCGCAGGTTCGAATCCCGTCGGAGGCATTTTATTACACAATGACTTTTATAGGACTTTATTCGTTGAAATGCCTACGATGTTCCACCATGTCCTTATTTAAACACTGTATATGTACCTTTGATCATATATATATTATATATATATATATATATATATAGGTTTGAAAGGCAAATGGGAAAACCCATAAAACAGCAAACGGCCATATAATGCAAAACAATTTAAAATTAAAATTAAAACGGGACAGTAGAGAAAATCCGATCAGAATGACAAAATAAGCTAAGTATCCACTGGAAGGAATCCCAATATCTGCAGACGGATCCGTTTCGGCCTTCCAGGCCTCATCAGTGCAGCTAGGGTACAGACCCAAACTCTTATACACATCTAAGGTGAGCCTTGATGGCCTGTAGAAGCAATTGTTGAAACTTCTTTGTTATTGTACCATTGCAATTGTACATGCGTAGGCTGATAATACTAGTCAAGGAGGAGATCATTGCCACGTTGGCGAGCCTAGCTTAGGCCTAGGCCCATCTATTCTAGATCTAGGCCTAGGCCTAGCCTAGCCCCTATATAGAATCAGGGCCTAGGCCTAGGCCGCCACCATGTACGTAGTAGTTAGGCCTAGCCAGGCCGCATTGTCATTGCAGCCAGGCAGGCCTAGCTAGGCATATGCCTAGTCCTATATTATTACCTGGGATAGGGCCTAGGACCTATTCTTAAGGTACACCTACTATAAAGGTAGTACAGTACAGCAGGCCAGGCTAGGGCCTAGACTAAGCCTACCTTAAGCTAGGCCGGCCTCCCAACCATAGGCTAGGACAGATCATTTCGGTCGCGCTTCGTTTCGGTCGCGGTTTGTTTTCAACAAATGTATGGAGCGCCAATGGAGTTGCGAAAACGCCAAATTTAATATAAAAAAACTAGGCCTAATTATCATTGTGAGTTCGTCAATCGGTTTATCATACTTTTTTTATTTATGTTTTGTTGTCTTTCTACTATAGTAACAACATAGGCTACATAAAAGCATTGAATACTATTATTACTAAACTAAATTTCAATTAATATTATGGTATTTATAGGTTATTTTCTAGTTTGTTGCATTTCTAGTACCATTTCACTCTTTTATCTTACAACATAAGATATGTTACTACATAACGAATATTTATACAAATCAAACTTTTTATCAGGAAAAACCAGCCAACTCGTTATTTAAATTACTGTAACATTAGTTTATTAACAATTACTTTTATATTAGTATTAAAGTTTATTATTGTTACTATATTACTGTATCACTTGGTGCTATTTTTATTTTTTTACAGAAACAACGCAGATGTTACTAAGTTGACCGAGTTTGAGATACATTTTTTTTATATTCTGTTGCGATATATATCTGTCTCTTATACACATCTAGATGTGTATAAGAGACAGCATATGCTCCCTTACCAAACACTTTCTTAACAGTGACTACCCCTTTAAAATTATTAAATCCCAGACCCTTAAGGCAGCCTCACGCCCCAGCTCTGAACTTTTAAACCCTAAACCCAAATCGGATTCTGACCGTATACCATTAGTTTTTAACT